TGGCACCCTAAGTTCCAGGTGATGAGTTCCCTGATCACATACCGACTGTTCACCTGGAATGCACTACCAAAGTCTGAGAGGCTTCATTCCAGTAGTTCTAAAAGGTTGGGCTTTAAACTGCACCATTTGCTGCCCGTCTGAAAGCAGTCGTTTGGTTAAATAACACAGGGCGACACAATAAGCCTTTGTTCATAACGCAGCCCTCCGTCCTTAGCGCCATGCTGACGTCCATTCGTTTGGATAGTGTGTGAACCTGGAGTGGTTTGGGCGCTAGATACGGTGGTATTTGATTATGGCAGCATCGAAGTTAAATTGTTAAGCGTTCTGTTACAGAATCGTGGCGGCTGTGACAAGGACGAAAAGTTAGTTGAGAAAGTCTTCTGTGGCCTCGGCTTTCTTGTAAAGGTTCTTCGTAACCTATCCTCCGGTGAAATGCGCTCTGAGCTCTCCTTCATTGGTAACAAGACCGATCATTCCGCATATGATGCTTTTGTTGCCGTGATCATGACACATGGCGGACTTGGAGAGCTCTATGGAGTCAATGGAGACGCTTTTCCAGTTCACCAATTGACCCTCGACTTCACTGCAGAAAGGTGTCCATCACTGGCCGGCAAACCGAAGCTCTTTTTCATTCAAGCTTGTCGTGGCGATGAGTACCAGTTCGGTTACGCGTTGCCAGCTGCCGGAAGCACCGACGATGTGGCAGCAACAAATTCCGGACCTGCGTTCTCGAACCTCCTTCAAGTTGGCGTTACACAGGTAGAGGGAGAAGTAGCTGAGGAGGCAGCAGAAGACGTGGAAGAGAAGCTGCCAATAGTTGCTGCAAAATTACCACGAAAGCAGAGATTGGTTCCCAATTTCGCGGACTTTTTACTTAGCTATGCTACGTTGGCGGGTTTTAAGGCTCAAAGAGACCCTCAGCAGGGATCGATCTACATCCAGACGCTGTGTCACCACCTGGAGTTGCATGGAAGATCGAGAAGCCTATTAGATATCGTTACTTCAGTACATCGAGAGGTTTCAGAGAAAGTCTTCCGAGAGGCGGAATCACCCAATCAGGAGGGCACAGTGTTCCAACAAACCCCTGAGGTTCGACACACCCTGACTCGTAGAGTTCAGTTTGTGTGACATTTTGTACAGGGGAGAATGCACTTTGAAAAGACTTGTATTACGTAATAAATGAATTGGAGTTTGTTGAGTGGTGTGCATCAAAACTAATGATTTGTAGTATGTGCAACATGTCCTTACCCTTCGGTTTTCTTCCCGCTCGCTGTGTGAAGGGGTCCAGGCTGAAGCGGTGTCGAAACTCGACAGCGCCTCATCGCTGTTTTGACTTGTCCTCCACACCTACTTCAAGCTTTATTTTGGGCTTCAAAATGTGGAAGTTCAGAAATCCATGTTTATATAAAGGATTAAGGGCTGAGGTGTTACCTAAGCATGTTGTCAACTTACGGGATTACGTGTTGCACTGGGAGGGTTACAATCACTGCCACAATCTAACTGTTCACGAGTTCTGAGCAAAAGCGCACCGGCAAACGTTCTAGATTTAAATACTCTCAAGGGGTTACAAAGTGCTCCTACGTGCACTTTTCATTTAGCTGTAATGGTGTTAAGAAACAGTGGTAGGATAAAAGTGCTGGACAGGTTCATTTTTGGAAAAATGTTCCTGAGCTGAGCAACTTAGCTTTAAAGTTTATTAAGAGTTGTGCTGTGACTCTAGGTCTCTGTGAGGACAAGAGAAAGTGTTATTTAAGGTATATGCGTTTAACCGGCTCAGGAATGGGATTAAAATAACTAACACGGCGTTAGAGTGGTAAAACCGGCTGCTATAACCCAAAGCTGAGCAAATCACAACGCGCCGCACCCACTGTAGCGATTTTTAGAACTTAATCAGATGGCTTTTTGGAATTTTGTTTGACGGTTATTTTGGTTTACGTCTAGTCTTTGTACTCGTAGAATGGCCTTCGAGCTAAGTCAGGATCTAATCGCTCCTTATCCTCCGAAAATGCATGCGATCAGCCTAACCTAGTTCTTTCTGCTACCTAGTTAGAAGTCTTATGGTGTTGTATTTACAAATGAAATTTCCCCGTTCATGAATCTTATTGCGACATTTTAGTAAATCAGTAACGCATTTTGCTCAACAGTGTCTTACTATGGCTGAGGATGCCAAATTACTGGGAAAGGCAGCGACAATTTGAAAGCAACAGATTTTAAGGATTAAAAGCTTGTTCTGCATAAAGTTAAACTTGTTTACTGGTTCAGGCGGTAATTACGCCGAAAATGCAATTGTTACTGACCTAGATTTTGGTACGTGCTTGCCTATGTATTACACCTGATCACTTTATTAAATGCTTTATACTGAGTTTTGATGATTTTAGTCATTGATTTAGCAATGGCGTTTTGGCTGACAGAGGCTTTGTAATCAGTCAACAAATTCGAGTGATAATTATTCACCAATAGAATCACTCAAATTTACGTCTCCCTTCAGCCTATCAGCATTTAGCCTTTTTGTCACTTCGTTGCAGTATGGCAAAAGAGGATGAAAACTCGGTCCTCTCCAGGTCTTATTCGCGAAACAAGACAAAGTTGTCACATTCGAAGGTCTCATTTTTTAAGTAGACGTATTCACAGTTCAAGCAGTAGTGAAAGTCATTCGCATAATGGCTTAAAAAACGGCACATCTAAAAAGGAGCGGCTCGAAGAGCAACGGAAGAAGGAGGAAATGAAGGCTGAAGAAGAGCGGCTTACGTAATCTTTTGTCGTTTTTGATTGAACTTTTTCGCGTTTATTAATTTTAAACGTAGTATTTTATGCATTTCTATGTTTGTTTTTGCACTGACTTACGTTCCAGTCGTCAGCAATGGGCTGAATCAAAACTCCTTGAAGAGGAAGTTGCGAGACGCTTGGAAAGATACCTTGAAGCAGAATTAGCTGTTCTTTTGAAGGATCGAGAAGTGGAATTTAATGCTGAGGTTGAGAGGCGTGTCGCCATCGAGCGTGAGGCTTTGGAAAAAAGGCGAAAAGAGGAGGCTGAAAGGAAGGCTCGAGAAGAGGAGGAGGAAAAGCGCCGAAAGGAGGTACTTAATTTTTATATGGCGCTTTTCATTCTCATTTGCGCCTTTAATCTTGTCCTTTCACCCTATTTCCAAATTGCTTAACGGTGTTTCTAATGCGATTGGGAACTCATAAAGCAGTCAAGTTACTTGTGCGATGTACCTGTTGTTTCCTTGTTTAGGAGGAAGAACGTCAATTAAAGGAACTCAATGAACGGTTGGCTCGTCAACGCGAAGAGGAGCTTAGCGAATTGCGCCGTAAAGAGGTGAAGTCACTCTCGTTTCTCCATACCGTTGGTACTGCCCACTTTCCCTGTTTGTTCGTTCCTCTCTGTATTCCGATTTGGTGGCTTGATAATCTACTTCCCTCATCAAATGTTACGTCTGTTCCCTTATGAAGAATAGGAATAATATTGCTCTATTTTAAACTTATTAGTAGTAAGTTTTCCGCTCACTATACTCCCTGCTGATGTCATGGTTCTCCAACCCAGGAAGAAATACGTCAAAAGCAGTATGAGGAAGAATTGAGAAAGCTGGAAGAAAAGCAGCGTTTAGAGGCGGAAGAACAACGGAGGATTAAAAAGGAGCAGGAGATTATCCTTAATCGGAAACGGGTTCGTCCAAAGCTAAGTTTTACCTTAAAGAAATAATCAACTCTCTGCGCCTTTCCTTCCTGTCAAATAGTGTTCATCAGTCCTCCCCATTGTTATTTTAAATTTCTGTATTCTATGGTTGCCTGCCTTCTTCCTCCACCCTATCTACGTGGGTTAGGCTATTTTTATGAACGTTCCTCAACTTGGTCTGGCGTCGAAGATGTGACCTCTTGCCTAATCGTCTGTAAATTTTTTGTTCGTCTCCTTCCCGTCTGGCCTTGCAATGACTAATGACTGACCTTAAGGCGAACTAGTGTAAATGTTTTTTCCAGTAATTTATCTTTCATTAGAAGCTAAATCAGTGTTGATTTGACACTATTTTACTCCTCACCAACCTGTAACTGAGTCATCACCTGTGCCGTAGTCATGCGGTGCCTTGGGTCCTCCTTAGAGGTATGCTGAGAAAAGCCTGAATAGCTGTTAAAATCAAAGGTTTTCCCGACATTTTGGGTACAAAAGTCGTCTTCCGCCCTCACGCATTCATTTCGTATGGGAGGCAACTGATGGTTTGCTTCTCTGACGCTACCTACGTCACCCCATGGTCATTTCGCCGCTTGAAGTACACCTTGTCTGGTTTCTTCGATGAGGAGCCTATCAATAATGTCAAATAGCATAAACTTTTGCAGTTTTTACGCAGTAGCTCCCAGGACACTTCAAACCTTGGAATTTCCTACTCGTACTAACCAGCCTCATGCACTTTTATTTATCATTTGAAAGTACATATTCGACCTATCGGGATAGCCGTTACCATGTCCGGACGCATCTTTTTTTCATTTTTATTTTGAAATATTGAATAGGAGAGGAACTAGTTCACCGATTTTGGTTCGGATAAGTAGTGAGGAGATGGGTGAGCCCTACTTAAAATCGACAGGCCAATGAGAATTCAATAGATTGGAAAAATTGGCGTTTTGTGGTGTCATTTTTGTCATTTGTTGTTGTCGTTGTTGCTGCTGTTTACAACTGAAAGAATATTGTTCTGGCGTCTAATAGAAAGAGGGAGGATTGAGGGACAGAAACTGAAATTCATTAATCACAAATTTTCTTGAGGGAGGAAAGACAGAATAGTGTGATTTGATTGCGATAGCACATGGACACACACACACTTTGAAAGGCATTGGTATTGCAAAATATAATTAAATATTTTTTGTTCACGTCTAACACAGAAGACATAACTTCAAATTCAAATGAAGGGATGAAATGGTGCGTTGCTAATAATCTCTTAGCTGGTCGTGGTGGTGCGGTGGTTGGATTCACAATTTCGAGGAGAAGGAAGGGGTCGTGGTAATGCAATCTCAGTAACTAAAAGAGGAAAAAAACGGGACTATTGAAAAAAAATTAGTTTCTTTTTTTCCTCTGATCTTGAAGTCATTCAGGGAACGACCTTAGAGTTTGGCAGAGTCTCCACGTTTCCCCTCGACGTATTGAAGGGAGGTGGCTAGGGTCTACGTGTAGGGAAGGACTACTCTCTCGGGGAAGAATGATTAGAATGGACAAATAGATGAGACTAGTGGACAGGTGAAAGGCTATGAAGTTCGTGTTATCCATGGTTATTTGCATGCCTTTGGAAACGACCTCTCATGTCGAATGGCCTGAATGCAAACCCACCCACAGGCTAGAACACGAACAAAGTCAGCCATAACTTAGAGTGCAAGGTCTTAGAGGTTGTTTTTGGGTTGCCTAAGTACTTACTCGGTGTCACTTTAAAGAGTATTTATGGAAGATGATTGGACGGATGAGACGTACTTCTTAGCAGTGCTACTTCGCCGGACGGCGGAGGAAGATTTTCGTTTCTCCGGATATAGGATCTGAAAGCTACCCTCTAAATCAATCTCCTCCTCATTGGAGTTTGGCTTGACGGTGACATTTCGACTGAGACAGAAGATGCCACCTGCGTTGTCGAACTCACCACAGTAGTTTGGCGCTGAGAAGATGGTTACAAATGATCGGTTTGCGAAGAATTCATAGCCATCCTCCACCACTTGATGTGCCCTAACCATCAAATCTAGTCCAAATCTACTCAAAAACCGGTCTACGACATCAGGACTGAAGACATACGAGACTCCACGCTCATTCGGTCCGAAGCCCGTTTCTGTGAATATTGGTGGGAGTTCATCTGCATCAGGGTCCAACATGTCCGGATTCAGTGGATCCGCCCATAAAAGGTCACAGACAAGGCCCTCTTCAGGCACGTCCGTAGGCCGTGGAATGGCTCTGATTCGTTGTTTAAGATCCTCCAAATTTGTGTACTCAGGTTTGAGGAATTCCGGCGAAATGCCACCGTGACAACAGAAGATCTGATTCTCAATTACAGCAGCCACAGGGAGGCAATTGAAAACATCTAGGAAATGCCTCCAAAGTTTCACGTTGAATCTACGTTTGCACTCATCAAAAAAACCATATATGCGAGTAATCGCCTGACACTCGTGATTACCTCGCAAAAGAAAGAAAGTAGTAGGATATTTCACCTTGTAGCCAAAGAGGAGACAAATTACTTCCAAACTCTGCTTTCCTCGGTCCACATAGTCTCCAAGGAAGAGGAAATTTGTGGTATCTGGCTTACCGCATAAATCGAAGAGGCGAAGAACGTCACGAAACTGACCATGAGTGTCGCCGCACACCTTTAGTGGACCCTCCAATTCCAACAGAACTGACTGACTCATTACTACATGCTTTGTCATCTGACAGAGAGTGATCATGTCCTGCTCCTTCAAATTCACATTCTTCACACCTCTGTCCTTACTGGTGGCCAGAGCCTCCACAAACTCATCAAGGTTGAATGCGGACGGCCGCAGGGTTGACTTTCGCGATTGAACGGACAGCTTGAGGCTACACTTGCTATTGGTGGGTTATGGATCTGTGGACGGACGGAGAGCATGCGCTGTCTGCGCCCTAAACGCGCGTCTTATTTTCGGCTCGTGGTGACCTATCAAAGTTTAAGGTGGACGGGATTGCTGCTCCCCTCGCACCTAGACAAACTTGGCCCTCCAGTCAATCGATAGAGTCGCGTGAGGTCGGATCTCCAACATGCAACGCGTTCAGATGGAAGGTGACCTTGAAGAAGGCTGAAGCATTGGCCAATCTTCTCAGGTTCGTGAATGCTACTTCCTCATTTAGTCTGCTTCTACTTTCGTTTACAAATAGAAATCGTACGAATTTGATCTGCTTTTGTGGTAAACTGGTGCTTTTAGAATGTTTTCTCATTTGCGCTGGCTTATTAGCGCCCAGAGCTGAACATAGAGCATCAAATGGATATTGCATTGCCATGGCTATGGATGAGGTGACCCCGTTGTTGCCGATTTCAGGCCAATCCTCCAAGGCGACTGCCAAACGCTGACAGTGGGGAAGTGCACTTTTCCACCTTCGCAAATCACTCAAGTAGCCTGTTCTCAATGATATCAGTTAGTGGCTGGAGTTGCACGCTATCGAAAGGTTTGGAAATGCTTATTTATATGGCATCAGACTTTGTGACTAACAGGATGCCTTTGACCTCTGCACTCGGTCTAAATAACCGTTGGAATTCAATGATAAAGCGCTCCTATACCATATGTGCGCGTGAAATTCTCCATAGGGTTTAGAAGTTGCTAACTTTTTCCAACCCAACCATTCTTATTGAAGTTACACCACATGAAGCTACTTTGGGTCCAAGAAAATACACACGCGTTTCTTTTTTATGCGCACTGATTCGCTTTAAAGCAAAGCTAAGGTCCTTGATGTATTTTTAGTAACCACTCCTACCTCCTACTGCTGCACAAAAAGGATTTACCCATTCGGCTTGGCTATTTATAGAGCAGGGGTGGAGAGCGAGTTCATAATCAGGAAAATACCATTACAAGCAATTACTGATCTGATCTAGTATAGTTTAAGTCTTGCTGTTATGTAGTTCAAATCCATTGTACACTGAAACCGTTGCCTTAAACTTACTTCACCTCCCCCTGTGATAACATGCCATGTTTTTAAGCAAATCGTCTACCTGATGTTGCCTTCATGCATAAATTGTACAAATAGTGCAGATGCCGCTTTTGCGTAGCTACGCCACATCTTCGAATGATCTATTGGGAAAAGAAGGCTTGAGGAAGGGAAGGTGGTACTTGTTGCAAGCTCGGAAAACTCAAACACCCAATAAAACCATCAATATCCAACAATAGCTACGTCACTAAGTTGTTAGTCGGAAATCGAACCAATAAGGTTATGTCTAGTTAAATCTTATTGACTTTTAATCGATTTTTCGGTTTTTGATATATTTGCGTAAAATATATGACATTGATATCATTACAAATCGTCTTTCAAACGCATCCTAGTTTCCTTGGTAAATTTGTGGTCAGCAAAATATTTGGGATTGGAGTCAGTTGCGTAAAAGCGGGATGTTGTTACGCAGCACAAACTCCCCATTATTTCGCATTAAGTTCTGTGAACCATTTAACTGGGTGGTTTGACTAGCGATGTTAGTTTGTCTTTATTCGCCAATTAAGTTATTGTTTCAATCCATGGCTTTATTGAATGAGCACTGTCGGTCGGTTGAATTGTAAAAATTGGGAAAATTATCGCCACAACTTCTTATTCACCAATTTCAGCAATCTCTTTCACGGCTTTTTGAGTTACTTTCATCGACAAACCAATCAGTGACTCCCTACAAAATGATTGGCTAATAGTGAAATATTGGGTTCAAGAACACTTACTTTCTCCTGTGGGTCAATATTAATTTCTCACTGCAAATATTTCAGTTTTCTTTAACAGAATTAACGAAAGTTCAAGTTGTTGATTAATCACAGTGATAAAACTGTGGTGAACCGTCGGTACAGCTGGTTCACTATCTGATTGGTTAAGTGATATGCACGGTAGTACATCGAGTTTGGTGCTTTACGAGACATATACTAAATTAGCTTCGAAATTTGGGGCCTCAGTAAATCTGATATCGAAGCTATGGACTAACACTAAAAGATGAAACCAAAAACGCTACAATGGCTGGGGTGCATAAGCAGAATGGTTATGTCGAGTGGTGAGGTACACGAATTTTGGTATTAAGTATTAATTTCCTAGAAGGCAGCACCTGTGTATTTGTATATGGCGACCAGTTGTCCACGAAAGGGGCTTGCTGACTGGTTATAATCGCTAAAACTTTTTGTGTCTGTCCCTAACCAAAGCACAAATCATCAGGCCGGCGCGAATTCCCCTTCAGAATTAAGATTAGCTGTAGTGTTGGACATCATACCATACATCTTAGTGAGTCAGCTATGCAATTAACCACCCAATTTTTGGCACCACATCCCAACAATTATCCACATGTATGTATTGTTTGAGGCCAAATTGGGAAGCGTCAGGTCTCTAACTGAAGGTGGAAGGGAGCAAAAGTATGACAATGAAGCATCGCTGAATTAATTAGGAAGTCTTTGGGTGGGTGCATGCATGAGAGATCGGATCTGTATTGAAGGAATGTAAAACAATTGAACAGATTGAAAATTAACAAATAAGTAAATGGAAGGAGGTTTCGAATGGATGCCAGGCGAACATTTTTAGGAATTAGTCTATGCTAATGGGGAAGCAGGAATGATGTCGAGGCATGTGGGAGCAAATATTGTTGAGTAGGCTCAGCCTGAGGTGTTGGGGGAGTTACTGAGGCGGGACAACAACTCTTAAATACTAGAAAACGGCATCGAAATAAGGAGATAATGAGCCATTGCTTTGGCACCTTCAGTTACATCTATGGGCAGAGGGGGCTGTCAGTTTTGCCTGTTTGCTCAGTAATCATGAAGTTGAGCATGGTCAACGCAGCATCAGCTGAGTAGTAGTGGATCTGAGAATGTGACAGTTAAACAGCTGTTCTTTCGCGATCACTTAAAATGGACGAGGAGCGACAATTATTACCACTACCAGTAGCTATATTACGCTCCATGTGAGTGTTCGAAGGGACTCTCCATCTCAACCCCAATCCTAGCTTACGAATTAAAAAAATTTGAAGCCGCATTCATGATTCAACCTCGCTTATTTCTGCATCATTCTAAGTTTGAAATCTTTACTCCTTAACCACTGAAAAGTCAATGCGTCACTTTAATTCTCCCATAGCTGGTCTCTTTGTGATAAGCAGTTATTTCGCATCCCCATTTAATTACAGTAGATGTAGTTGCCAGCATGTGAATTGATTTTTAACGCTTAAGTGATGTATGTCCTGTCTGCAGGGCTCTGACTAGCTGTTTCCAAATAATTGCTCTAATTTTCTCTGTTTTGGTGGTGTAATTCATCCTGCTTTCTCTTACTTTACTTGCTAACTTCGATTTTATGCACGCAATCTATGCGCTGTCAACAGGAAACAGCAATAACTTGCCCACCTTATTCCTCCACACATTCACCTCGATGTGACTTATCCGTTAATGGTGCCCAAAAGTTAATTCACCCTTGGCCATAATTAGAAGAAATCAACGGAATGCCTTTTCCATTGAACAGTTCCCCTCAATTGTTAGAAGTAACCTTCCACCGTTCCATCAATCTACTTCTGTTGCCCACACACGCACAAAACTGTGCAGTTTTTTTGCTTCCTGTTGCTATAAAAATCATGGCATTCCTTAGAAAGGTTGCCAAAGGTAACATTAACCACATACACACCTATAGTCACGTGAGTTTGCGCTCCAGTTAATTTGAAACTACTTTTCCCCAAAGTGCCACATCGTTGACAGTGCGATGGGATATGCTCCATTTATGTAACTTAATGGATTATTTTATAAGTATTCCCCAAGATTCATCACCTTATTATCTTGCTGAAGTTGAGTGTGGAGTCATTCCTCGAAAAAGGGGTGTCGCATGTGAGAGGTTCAAATGTTTGAGTTGCTCAGCCAAACAACCAGTAGGATTAGAGCGGACTCTTATTAACCAATAAGACTTCACCGCGTATTACACTTTGAATTTATTGGTAGAGTAATTTTAAAATTGTCAAAATTGTATTATGATGTCATTTTACAGCTTTCAATTTATAAATGAAGGACATAACTCACAAACACGATGGTCTGCTGAGGTTTTGCTCATATACTCTGTCTGACAATTTGGACACTAAATTTTTTTACCTCAAATATGCTTAATTGCATTACTTTGTTGAGATCCATTCACTTCTCTAATTGCTCCTCTGCAAGCAAAAATTGTGCCAAACACTTTTCACAAACGTATGAAAGAGCACTTAGAGTACACCTATGACTTAGTGGAATGAGGTTTAAATAGCGGTGATGCGTAAATCCCAAGGTCATCAACTCTAAAATAGGTTGCCTCTCAGAACTCGTTGAACATTCCAAAATCCGATTTGATCAGATTTACAACCGTGACATTTTCATTCTCGTGTGAACTTTAGAACTCTTAAAGCTGTATATTTTGATGCCACTATGACTCGACATCAAGAAAGCATTGGCACATCACAGTTGAACATGTCCCATCTTTTTCTCTTTGGGGCTGACTGGGTGGTGCAGGAGGATACCGTCTTTGGAGGCAATTATAAAAGAAAATTGCCGTGCAAATCTCCCATCCTCTCTCACAAAATGTCAACATATCTCAAATGGCAGCGCGTATTCTAGGGAAGATTTCTCCTAATCCACAGATATCCGTATGGCCTAAAACATCTAGGTGCTTTTTTATGCTGGACTATTGGTTGCAAAGAACAGGAAGACCTAATGTATATGTAAGGCTTAGAATAGGTTGTCGTTGCCGTTACTTTCATTGGCTGCAGGAGTTCAGCCCGCTAATCTCTGAGGCTTTCAAATCCAGCCAATCCGCATAACCTAGAAAGCCTAAAGCATTTGAATGAACGCAAAAGCTAAACGCATTCAAACAAGGCGTAGTGGAACCAATAAACCAAACGACATAGACAGCAGAGTTGCTTAGTTCATCAATCTGTGCCGGGCTTCGCTGTTGGAAGTGGAGTAGGTAGGGTAGTGAGAGGAAGAGGGTGTGGGAAGAGGACCGGTTTAATGCCTTCTGCACTTACTCGTTGGCAATGATTTAAAGTGGCATACCGCCGAGCCTATTGACATTCGCGATGGGGAAAGTGCAT